TTGTCACCAAAGGAAAAAAAGATAACATACTATATAGTTCAAAAGGCTAGAAGGAAGGATTTTGAAATCTTTTTGCCATAAAGAAATAACAAATAAGGAGGTAGATATGTTTAACTTGACATAAACATTACACATGTACATGTATCAAAACATTATATGATACCTATTAATATGTACAATTTTTATGTTTTTATGTATCAATTAAAAATAAATTTAGGGCTGAGATGTAGCTCAGTGGGAAAGCGTTTGCCTAGCATTCACAAAGCCCTGGGTTCAATCCCCAGTTCCCAAAAAGAAAGAATCCCACCCCCCAAGAAAAGTAAACAATGTAAAAAAATAAATAAATTTAGCCGAGCATGGTGGCACACTGCATAATCCCAGCAGCTCAGGAGGCCAAGACAGGAAGATAGTGAGTTCAAAGCCAGCCTCAGTAATGGTGAGGTGCTAAGCAACTCAGTGAGACCTGTCTGTACATAAAATACAAAATAGGGCTGAGGTTGTGGCTCAATGGTTGAGTGCCCCTGAGTTCAAACTCTCATACCCCCTCCAAAAACTAAAATAAAATTAACAAATTTACTTTCTTCACTTAAAAAAAAAAAAAGTATGCCAGATGTAGTAGCACAGGCCCATAATTCCAGCTACTTTGGAGGCTGAGGCAGGAGGATCACAAGATCCAGTACAGCTTCAGTAACATAGTAAGACCCTGTCTCAAAATAAGTAAAAAGGACTGAGAATGTAACTCAATGCTAGAGCGCTTGCCTTATCAAGCACATGGCCCTGGACTCAGTCTCCAGTATGGGGAATAAAAGAAAGCAACTCAATGAAAAAGTATTATCCTATTTTAATGATGAAAAAAAATGTATCAAAGTGATGTTCAGTTATTAGAATCTATCACAATTTAGTAGGCTAAGCTTCAATTCAAACCCAGGTTTTTCTGATTGAAAATCTGATATTCAACACCCAAATATTGTCCCTAATAGGATCCGGAAATGTAAGGCAGAGTGGTAAGGACACATTGCATGGGAAATAGAGAGTGTAATTTTTGTGGTATCAGGTGCAGGAGAGGCAGCTGCCCACCGAGACTTGAACTCTGGCTGGCCCTAGGGCAGAGGAGTTATCAAGCAACTCTGTGGAAGATGGTCAAGGCTACTTAGGAGGCTCTGGCACAGGATGCACTGGTGATCTGATGCTAACTTGAAGACCACTACAAACCAATTCTGTGTCTATTTGTCTTTTTATGTTCTTCTTTAGCTTTCCTATGGTAATCTTGATTATGATTAGGTTTTTTGTTGGTCTTTTTTTCTCCTTTTGAGGTGCTAAAGATCAAGACCAGGGCTTTATATGTGCTATGCTAGTGTTCTATCCCTAAGCAACACTCCCAGCCCAGTATTGTTGATTGTGAACCACTAGAAAGCTGTAATCCTCATTCAATGTGGCAAAAAAAAAATGAAAAAAAAAATGAGCTATACATTCTAAAAGAAGGGGGAAACTTATATTATTTGAAATGGAAAATGAAATCTTTTATATCTCTTATATAATTAATTTAGCATACTTATTTTGATCAGTTTTATCAACAGCAGATTATAAATATGTAGGAAACTATTGCTAAAAAGAACACTATCTTTCAAAACCATTTGTCATGTGTGGCATTAGAAATTAAATGCAAATAATTTTTGTATTTCTGAAAAAAAAATGTGAGGAAATTAAAAATTCATACTAAGGTATTATGTTGCAGATTTTAAAAATCACCTTATTTTCTATGTCATTTTTAGCAAAGTTGTGATTGGATGTCTGTGCTTATAACAGTGGTGGCACACAGTATGTATAAGTTTTTCCTCAAACTGAAAAATGCAGTTGGACTAAGATTTTGGTCTGTGCTCCCTAAATGAATGACAGATTTATTCATTTTTTATTCCAAATTATGTTTTAATTTTCACTGATGAAATAACATTTCAGTTTAGTGGATTCATCTGCACTACCTAAAGCAAACACATCCTGCACCTATCACTAAGTGAACATCCTGAGCATGTTTAAAAGAATTGTGGCAACAAAACCTTCATGGTGCATTTATACAAACAGCATGTTAAAAATAGGTATTTCAGTGTGTCCAGAAAAAAAGAATTGTCCCTCAACTTTTCAGAATTTTTTTTTCCTAAGATTTCCATACAAAGGAAAATCTGTTAGGTTCATTGAATTGTTGACTCTTCATCAAGAGTTGAAAGTCTAATGCTCTTTCTTTGATCTCTAATTTGACTGTTTATCAAAGCTGATTACGGTTTGAATATACAAATCCCCTAGCTTGAAAATCATGTAAAAATAATGGAGAGTAAAGAATTTTTAAGTAGTCTCTGTTGTTCTAATTTGGCTTTATGATTGCAATATAGCAATTAGATTTGGTAAAAGGATCTGTTTTTATGTTTTGTTCCTTTGGTACGAATCAATCTTCTGCCACATTGGATCAAAGTGGTATTGTTTGAAAGCCAAACTTGCCATGTACTGAAGTAAGAGCTGTTTTGGTATACATTCAAAAGGAATCATTGTGAATAAGTGAAACCTAGTTTATTCCAATTACCCTAATTTAAGGGCTTATGTTTTCTGGAAAGCTACAAGTTTGTGTTCTCTTTATCTGCATATAAAGTTGAAACATAATAAAATAGAAGTTGACTTAGTTAAACACAATTATGGATTATATCACTTAAACAATTTTAAGATCTTCAATTCTAAAATTTCATAGCACATTTATTGTCTCCACTAATTATTGGAGGCGCTATGCTAGATATTTTATGTATATTAACAGATCAATCTGTTTGCCAAAGACAACACAGCTAATTTTAATGACAGAATAAGGAATAGGGTACGAATCTCTAGCATATCATTCTTTTATGTTTTTAAGTTTCATAAATAATTTTCTTGAATCTTCTAAAATAGTCCAGAAATTCTGTCTTCCAATCTCAGTCTTATTCTTTGTATTTTAAAAAGATTTTTTTTAAAAAAAGTCCTTCCTGATAGTGGTATACATTGTGGTGCTTTTGTTATTTTCCCTTAAACAAACTTTATGTGGTTCTAGAATTGTTTTAGGTAGAAAATCATTTTTTTAATGCTAGGTAGGCCAGAGCAGATTTTATAAGACTGGAATCATTTCCAAGTAAAATCATGGAACATTGATTCTGGGTTTTTTTGTTTTGTTTTGTTTTAAATCTGATTAATGACTGACTTGTAAATTTATATAAACAATCTAAAATACAAAAAGGGAAAGGGAGGAGACAATGGAAATGGGAGAAGGGTAAGGAAAGAAGAAGAAAGGGAGGAAAGAGGGAGGGAAGGAGCAAAGAGATAGTGAGAGAGAGAGAAATCCCTGTTAAATTTTGACAATTCTGGCAAAGAGTGGCAGTATGACACTTAGTTATAACTTTGTAGATACTGCACAGACCTTTGAGAAAACACTGTCCTGAAGTTGTAAAACATTAACCAGCCAAAGCTGTACTATTGTGTTTTAAGTAGTGATAAAGATACTTTGACAATTGCTAAAGAGACCATGGGTTTTCTTTTGTGCACAGTTCCTGGTTTTTAATAATCCATTGGCCCTGGTCCACTTTGTCTTCTGATGTCTCCAAATGGCCCCAAGTGTGGCCCAGAGGGAAATGATTATAAAAAGACAACTTCTTCATTTACTAGTTCCAGGATTTTTAAAATTTGTTCTTTTGTTTTGTTTGTTTGTTTACTTTTTATTTTATAGCTCAGTGATTTTCAAACCGTGAGTCACCAACTAGGAAATTAATTGAACAGGTCAAGACTAATTTTTTTATTCTAATAAAACAGACTGAAAATAGCAGTGTCTTTGGAATTTTTTTCCCCAAAATATAAGTGTGTGTATGTGAGAGAGAGGGGTCGGGGGATGGGGGTAGGTATGGAATAATACATAAAACAGTGTAATGCTAATTTTACACAATGGAATTTGTAGGTGATTTTAAGCAATTTGAAATATTAATCTCCTTTCCAAATTTGATTTCTGAGTTTGTGTCAGGCTATCATTCTTTGTATTTAAACAATTAAAGCAAATAAATGGGTACATTATCACACTACCACAAAAGGGAGAGTTTTAGATAAAATAAGATTATGATTTTTCACTGGTGATCTGTTACAATTGGTACAATCTGAACACAATTGTAAAGAGTTCAGAATTCTCACCATAGCTCCATAGAAGGTTAGATGGTTTCTCTCCCCTCCTTTTTTTTTGGGGGGGGGGGTCCTGGGCATTGAACCTGGGGGCACTTTCCTCCTGAGCCACATCCCCAGCCCTTTTATTTTTTATTTTGAGACACAGTCTCACTAAGTTACTTAGGGCATCACTAAATTGCTAAGGCAACTTGTAATCCTCGAACTTGTAATCCTCCTGTCTCAGCCCCCCAATTGCTAGAATTACAAGCTTGAGCCACCACACCCAGCTATGTAGTTTCTTAACTTCATGTTTGTACTTTTGCTTGAGAGAATTATTTTCAGCTAATTATTGACATGTAAACCCTGACACATTTGACGTAAACATAAAATTAGTGTTTTCATTTCTCAAGTTAGTATAAAAATAATACTAATAATATAAATAAATTATTTAGAACCTAAAAATGTTCTAAACTGTATAATCTTTTCAATCATACGACATTTAAGGATTTAAAATCCATACTCAACTTCTGGTTGGAGTACATAAGAATTAAGACAAATAAAATAAACTGGGCATAATGGCATATACCTGTAATTCTAGGAGGCTGAGACATGAGGATCACAAGTTCAAAGCCAGCCCCAGCAGGGACTCAGCGAGGAACTAAGCACCTTAGTGAGACTCTGTCTCTAAATAAAATAGGGCTGGGGATGTGGCTCAGTGGTTGATTACCCCTGTGTTCAATTCCCAGTGTCAAAAAAAATTAAAATAAATTTCATTTTTTAAATATGTTTTGCCTGAGATTATGTACTGTTTATTACATCCTTTCCTTTTCTTGCATTTTCAGCTAAAATTGACCAAGAGGCAGAGGAGACTTCACTGACAGAAACTCATAAATGGTGAGAAATTGCCTTCCTTTAATATAATATTTCCTCTAAGAATAGACTTGTAAAGTTCTTAGTATATTTCATTCCAAGGAACCAATTATTAGTTTAATTCTTATTTTCATATGTTAAATAAAACTAATGGTGTATTTGAATTTCTCAATAAATTTCTGAATTTTATTTTTATGACTCTGGATGATGTAAAATTCTGCTGAATATCAGATTATTGGGATTAGCACCTTCTCTTTCAAATAGGATTTAGGACTAAGGTAATACAAGAAAATGCAAGGTAGTAGGAACCTACTTCAAGCATAAAAATTGAGGGGGTAGGAATGATGGTAGTATGAATTGGACATTATTACCCTGTGTGCATATATGGTTAGACGACCTGTGTAACTCTACATCATGTACAACCAGAAGAATAAGAAGTTATTATACTCCATTTATGTACAATGTGTCAAAATGCATTCTATTGCCATGTATAACTAATTAGAACAAAAAAGATTCAATCAAAAATTAAAATTTTGAAAAAAAATAAAAGTTGAAGGGTTTTGTAATGAAAAACTATTGAATTTCTATAATCAAAAGTAACTTCTAGGGAGGAAGCTAAGAGATTCCCTGGGATACATTTTCACTTCCATAATGGAAATTTACAATCAAAGGCCAGCATAGAAAAGTATCTCAAGGGGCTGGGGTTGTGGCTCAGCGGTAGAGCACTCACTTAGCACGTGCAAGGCCCTGGGTTCGATCCTCAGCACCACATAAAAATAAATAAACAAACTAAAGGTTTTGAGTACAACTAAAAAATAAATATTATTAAAAAAAGAATCTCAGGAATCTCTCTGCTTTGCTGCCTCATGATGTATTCTTCTTTTTATCTATATTATGTATTAGTCAGGGTTCCTCAGAAAAATAGAACCAATTAGAGATATATGTGGGTTGGAGGGTGTCAGAGAGAGATTTATTTTCAGGAATTGGCTGGTATGAGTATAGAGGCTGGTAAGTCTAAAATTAGTCAGCAGGCTGGCAGGCTGGCAATTCCAGTAGGACTGATGTCGCAATCTTGAGTTTGAATGCAGTCTGGAGACAGAATTCCTTCCACTCAGGAACCTCAGTCTGAAGCCTTCAACTGACTGGATGAGACCCAGCCATGTTATAAAGAGGGATCTGCTTTTCTTAATTTCTACTGATTTAGATGTTAACCACATCTAAAAACTGCCTTCACAACAACTAGACTGGTGTTTGACCCAAAACTATGTATTATAACCTAACCAAGTTGACATAAAATTAACCATCATACCCTTTAAAGAGAATCTGATTATTCTTGAGGGAAAAAATTCATTGAAGAGGTTCTTTTTCATTACTTTATTAGGCAAGATCCTTATATTCTGTGCACAGATATCACACATTTAGTAGTTCTCAAGTTGATAGAAAACATTATCTTAGACAAATTGTTCATAATTGGTCATTTTCTATGGAAATCAAAAACTGAGCTCAAGACCTTAAATCATAACAGATTTCAGTTAGTTGCATGAAAAAAATATACTGGCTAATGATGAAATTGTTAGTAAAGTAGCCATTTTTTATAATTAAACAAGTCACTCTGACATTCAGAAGAGAAAATAATAATGGGTCATATGAAGCATTTGACATTTCCCCAGAGAAATAAAGAGAAATATCATTTTCTTGGCAGTCTCATGTAACCTAGGCAATGATTAATACTAATTCTGTATAGGATGACTGTGTAACCTTGGCTCCATGGCCATTGAGTCTGATTCTTGCCTCCTACAGGTGATAGCTCTATGACCCTACACCAGTACATAACCTTCAGTTATAGTACCTATTTTGTAGAAAAGGATTAAATGAGATAATCCCTAACAGAAGCTTAGTATTTAGTAAGTGATCAATAGATGTTAACGGCTGTGTTATTTTTACACCATCATTATTATTAGTATCAGCAATTAACAAAATTTTGTGGTGGAAATAGAAACCAGAGTTAGATGTTGGACTCAGTATTTGTTTTTGTTTTTCATTCTTTACATTGAATCCACTACTGGGTGCCCCGGCATGGTTATGGAGCATGAATTTTGGCATTAGACCTATATTTTGGCGTTTGCAACAAACGGCTGCTATTATAGCTGTAATGATTTACCTCTACTTGTGAATCCATGTCTTTATCTGTGGGGAAAAAAAAGAGGAGCAACACCCACATTGTAAATGTGGTGATCAGTTTATGATAAGTAAATTAAGTGATATAAAAACATATGTAAAGCACCTATATCATAGAGATTTTTCAAAATTCCCTTCCTTTATATTCACAAAAGTACCTAAGAGACCAACTTTGAGAATGAACTCTTTTCTCAACAAACATTGGATTGGCGGAAGACATATAAAAGAGTCACTTACCAGTTCTAGAAATTGTTCTAAGGGCATACAGCAAATAAAGGCTCATTTAATCAAGAAAATCTACTGAATCTTGGTAAGAACAGGTTGTGTTGGTGGTGTGTGAGCCATATCCCATTCCTCTCAATGTATCAAGAACTAGTTTCAAGAAAAAAGGTTGAAAAAAGTTTGGCCATAGAAAATTTGAATTTCCATATTCAAAAGTAAATCCCGGGAGTAAGTCAGGAGTTTCCACTGAATGCTCCTTTATTTCCTTTCTGACTCAATTCTCTCTTCTTCCCCATTCTCTCTATATAATCAAGGTTTCCCAGAAAAATAGAACCAATTAAAGATATGTGCATACATCTCCAATCTTACGGGAACTGCTGCAGGAACTCAAATATAGGCAGTTGTGGTCAAGCAGGCAGCAGCCCCTACTTACAACTCCAGGAGGAAGCTCTTATCCTGTGTGGACAGATCAAAAATACTGGACCCTAATACTTCCACTAGGATGGTCTATGCCAGGAAAGGTGAGGGTGGGGACCATGAAGGTTAGGGACTACCTACCTCAGCTTCTACTTGTAGAGGGTTTCCCTGTGGGAGAAGCGGCCCACTGTCTCATACCAGCTTCAGCTCTGGTATAAGTACACACAGGTTCTGATCAACAATCTTCATTTCCTTCTGAGAGGACTGATTTTATCAAAAACAGATTATATGGATTTTCATACCTATGGGCTCTGTGAAAAACTACAGAGATCTTGGTAGAGAGCGACTAAAGAGGGCTCTTGTAGTTCCATGATACAATAGCAATAGGCCAAATGGAAAATGCTTTGTAAATATAGTATACATACAGGAAAATTAATAAAATTCCTTTCAAAGCAATTTGTTAGCTTGCTTTGAAAGGAATTTTATTAATTTTTCTTTGTTGGAGTACCTTTTAAAAAAATGTCATTCCATTTAAAATGAATAAGCTTAACTTCCATGAGAAATCCAATAGAGAGAACAAGGAAAGAAGACAGTAGGAAGGATCCTTTTGGGGATCACAGTCAACCCTGGCAGTCAGGAAAACTGTGCATAAGTGTACTGTGCTGTATCCACACCCATGAGCATCAGGTTGGGATGTGGGGCAGACGTGGAGACATTCTCTAACTAGCATCAGGTTCATCAATATATGTTATAAGCCTTTCTAGTATTAAAGGCTTTCACACAACTTCTGACCAATCTTGACGGGTTGGCCGATAAATTACTCTGACCCGGAGAAGCGAGACTGAACAATAAAATCACCTACTACAGTCCTACATACCATGTAGCTACTATTGACAAAATAAGTATATCAGCATCAGCTGAATTAAGTGCTTCTCCTAGGATTGTTCATGTGAAATGCTTCTGCCTGGTGTGCTGAGGGTTCCACTCAGCCAGGCTGGCTGGCTCTTCTCATGCATTTGAAGGAATGATGGATTTTGACCTGCATTCTAAAGTCTGGGTCTCCTTTTCCCTACGAGGCTTGACTGTTTCATATACCGCTTCATCCCCAACAGTGAATAACCAAATATGCTCTCTATCTATATAAACATCTTAAGGATTCAAAGCTATGGTTGTTTATGGCACTCTTCTTTGTGCTTGAATTAACCAAAAGTTTCTTTACCTTCCCTCCCTGCCACCCCCCAACCCCAACCAGAACTGAAAGAAAACACACAATCAGTTTATTTGATCTCTAAATATTTCATTTGCCTCAACAAGGCCTTAAGGGAGACAAGAACCAGAAATATGTATTTATTCAGGCCTATGATTTCTCAGTCTTCCTTCTATTTGCTTATTCTTATTATGTTCTATGTATCATGGTGTCATAAACCAGGTGAAATCCATTTTGGAGGTAAGATGGTATATTAAAAAAAAAAAACTGATGCTACCTGGTTTGCTTGCTTAAACTGATCTTCAGTTTCCACACTTCTATTAGCCCTTTTACCTTGAAACAGAAAATAAACAGGGAAATTTCAGTTGTATGATTATATTGAAAAACCTCCCAATCCAAAGAATTTTCTGGTGAGGTGCTTCCCCCACCCCTCAACTTCAGTGATGTTATTAATGCTCAAGAAGGTTTACATTTACTTTATACCCTGTGACAAGAGACTCAGTGTCAAATTGATGACCAATGTAAGTGCTTTGATTTTTTGAAATGAGAGTCATTTACAGAATATTGTGACTGCTGAGTGAATCTATCAAATGCCTTTAGGATCAAAAGATGATAGTCACTAAACAACCCTTTCTGTACCAAAAGATGTTGCCCAAAGGTTTTGAGGCAATTTAGTATTTCATATGCTCACCCAGGTTACTATTCTATGAAAGAAAGCAGGATTGTGTGGTCAGGGCCCTGACATTTCCTCTGAACCAGCTCTGTCATTCCAGAATGCAACTGAATAAACCACAAAGAGCCTTGGCCTCATTTGTAAAAGGGACAGAACCTCATCCTTCCTTTTTATCCTTTTGGTCTGGGAGAATGGAATGGCTCTCCTTTGCTGTTCATAAGCTTCTTGGAGTATGGCTGATAGGAGGCCTTGCTACCAAAGCTTTTTCATGTGCAAATGCTTTGTAAATATAGCACACATACAGGGTTGTCATCTTGCTTGGAAAGG